CTTTTGTGCGACATTTTCTTCCATTTTATGCTGCTCATTGCCCTTGAATATAATTCAAGGGGACTCTTTGAAGCCTAGGATTAAATTGCTTTCCTCCAGAAAGGCTGCGCTTGACTACCAGGCCCATAGGCTTATCCATCTTGGAACCTCCTAAAACCAAACTCCAGATTTAACGAAAGAACTCATGTCATCTGCTCACTTACCTTCCTCCTTTTCTAGGCTTAAACTTCTTTTAATCTGAGACCACTTGTTATCCTGTCTTGTGGACAGCACAGTCCTCAGCACATAAAAATTCACTAGTAAATTTTGGCTGAATGAATGAATGAATCTTTAAATTATCATGACACCTTGTTAACTTATTTCTCTGTCTTAATTTTCAGTTGGTCAGTTGAATACCATTTCCAATGGGGTGTCTTTTCTGACTAAGACTTCTCTCCTTTAAAACTCCCCCAAGTTGTGTGCCACACAGGGAGTGGCTACTTGGTGAATAATTGCTTCTCAGCTAAGATTGTCTTTTTCCATGCCTCTGCCCATGAATGGATGAAGCCACATATTTCTGGAATTCCTCACACCTTATATATTGCTCAGGTTATCTCTGGCAGTAATCCTCAATGGCTCAGTAACTGGTAGATCTATCTCTAATTTGTTCTCCCCTGTAGTACACTTAATCTCACACTTCAAGAGTTCTCTCTAAAGATGACTTCTCATTCTGTCATTTTCTTGCTTGTAGACCATCATAGCTATTACCACTACCTATAGAATAAAGTCCAAACCAATTAGTTCTCATTTTTCATTCTTCATCTAAGTGGGCTAGCCAGATTCCATGAAAGAATATAATATCTGAGAAATCAAACCCCCAGTTTCACCATTTACTGGCCACATGACTCTACAAAAGCTAACTTCTGAGCATTGGTGTGCTGATGTGTAAAATAATAATAGTTTTGCAAAGGATAATCTATGTGAAGCTCCTAGTGTCTATCACAATTAAAATAACTCTATAAGACATTTCTTTCTCGCAGGATCTGAAGGGGAGAACAATGTAATCCCTTGTTGCTTATGGGTACTTAAAAAATGAAGGGTGCCTTACCCATTTTCTCTCTGGACCTAGTTTTCTTATATATATACAGTGGGGCTTTAAATGGTTATTTTGAAACTTAAATATGGAAAGTGGAGGAAAGCACTGGGTTCCATACTTGGCACATACTAGGTTTCTGACAAATGTTCCTTCTTTAGCTCCCTTCAAAATTGAGGTCCAATTTTCCTTTCCTATGGAATTACAATAAAAAATGATAAACCAAAGTGCATTATATAAAAGAAGGATTGTGATTCTTTGTGTTTTTTTTTAATTTAATTTTAATTTATTTTTATTTTGGATTGTGATTCTTATCTCTACTTTTTAAAGTACTAGCTTCCCTCTAAGGCCAACTTGAAATACCACCCACTCCATGAAGCATTCTGGAATCTCACTTTTGCATTGCATGCCCCCTACTTCAGCCAGGAGGAGGATGCAAACAAAGGGGACTTTCCAAATGATCTCAGCTGGTTCTTGAATTCCCTATATATCAAGTATAGCTCTACAATATACAAAGCTAAACAGTGTTTTAGCTTCTACTAAGCTGTTTTTAGCCATGGAAAAATTCAGTGTCTTCAAAACAGGTCTATTTATTTCAGTTTTAGACAACTTAAATCTGTCCCCCTAAATTTTCAATATGCTCTTAGGTATGTATGTGTTTCTCTCTAAACATATTGCAAAGAAACATAATATGGCCAGGAATCACCTTTCTTCTTCTGTGTCTGCATCCTGTGCTAACAAGTTCCCAGCAACCCCAAAATTGTATTTTCAAACACATGTTGGTGCTAAGTGTCATCTCCTCTGTGTTGAGTTAATACAGCCATTTTTAATATCTAGGATTGGTTCTCCCAAAATAGATCCATATTGCATGCCTGTGGGCACGTTTGGTCTGCTTATTAAACCGTCATGAACCTAATCTGTTACTACTGCTCCTAGATCCATTTTTCTCATGAGTTCTTCCAAGGTACTTTATTCCTGTATAAAGCATGTGCCATAGTTTATATACTTGGCTTATGTCACAATGTCACAGGTGGGGCTCCCTAGAAGTAGTGCCTCAGTCTGAGGGGTTGGGCAGCAGCCCTTGTATCTCCAAAGCAGGGAGGCTTCTGTTGGGCCAGGAGCAGTCCTCCAGAGCAGGCGGCAGCTAAGAGTTGTTCTCAGCCAACACACAGCCCCACTGGTAAAGGAGCAGATGGGACATCAACAACTATAGTCACCCATGACTTTGTAATTCTTGAGTATGGAATCTGTGTGTTTTGTGTTTTTGCCATTTTTATAAACCTGGCTCTATATCTTTATTTACTTATTTTTTTTTTACTATGTTTTTATGGATTTCAGAGAAAGGAAGGGAGAGAGACAGAGAGAGAGAGAGAAAGAGAGAGAGAGAAACATCAATGATGAGAGAGAATCATTGATTGGCTGCCTCCTTTATACCCTGTACTGGGGATGGAGCCCACAACCCAGGTATGTGCCTGACCCAGAATCAAACTATGACCTCTTGGTTCCTAGGTGGATGCTCAACCACTAAGTCACACTGGCCAGGCCTGGCTCTATGTCTTGCACAGTGAAGGTACTACCCTGTTTCCCAGAAAATAAGACAGTGTCTTATATTAATTTTTTTCTCCCAAAGTTGCACTAGGTCTTATTTTCAGGGGACGTCTTATCTTTCCATGCGCTAGGTCTTATTTTCGGAGGATGTCTTATTTTTGGGGAAACACAGTAGTTTCTAGAATTGAATCATCTAAGGTCTAGAGAAAATGCCCCCTAGCTTGCATCCATTCCAATCCACTGCCATCATATATAATAAAAGCCTAGTATGCAAATTTCCCCCTAGACCAGGGGTTTGACCAGGGGCAGGGCTGGCGACTGCAGCAATGGCAGGTGGCCAGGGGAAGAGAGGCCTTTCCCCTAGGCAGCAGTGGCAATGGCAGCAGTAGGCAGCTGGGGGAAGGAAGGCACCCCTAACCAACAGCCACTAGGGACCTTACCCATGCATGAATTTCGTGTACTGGGTCTCTATTTTGTAATAATAGCCAAGTTCTCCCCACGCAGCAGAGAACCAGATCATGAGCCACAGAAGGAAGTTGATGCCACATATTCTAAGAATCTAATTGCCCTGTTAACTTAGAATTAGGGGTGTCGAACTCAATCAGAGAAGGGGCCAAAATCTAAAATCCAGCCTAAATCGCGGGCGGAATGGTTTACTGAACAGTCATAAACTGTCATTGTGATGGAAACGCAGCGGAGTGCAGTGATGACAGCAAGGTGCGGGCCACATTGCAAGGCCTGACGGGACGGATTTGGCCCGCGGGCCTTGTGTTTGACACATGTGATAGATGGTGCTTAAATTCAGAATAGGCAACTAACTTCTTAAGACCAAAAAAAATCAAACAGCAGAACTTCAGTCTGTTTAACTCTTAAACTCTTTTTGTTCCTTTAAGTTTTGTAAAGTAATAGATGCATATGACTAAACATGAAAATGTACAAGGGTAATAAAGGAATAGTAAAGGCCTGTTTCTCTAGCATCTTGACTTTTTTCCCCTCCCCAGAGCTAACTACTGTTAATATTTTCTTGTGTTCCTATCCAGATATAGTTGTAGACATACAAGCATATATATTTTTTACTTTATATATAAAAAGATTACAGTATATGTTCTGCTCTCTTCTCATTTAAAAACTAATAATAGACCTTACTGATCTTTTTATTGTTATTATTATTCTTCACCCGAGGATATTTTTCCATTGATTTTTAGAGAGAGTGAAAGAGGTAAAGAGAAACACCAATGTGAGAGACATACATTAATTGGTTGCCTCTCACATGTACCCTGACTAGGGTTAGGGATCAAGCCTACAACCGAGGTTATGTGCCCTTGACGGGAATCAAACCCAGGACCCTTCAGTTCAAGGGCCAATGGTCTATCCACTGAGCCAAACTGGCTAAGGCATTCATTACAGGTCTGTCTACATCAACATCTCTATATCTCATTTTAAAAATATGGATATCTTAAAATAAATAAAAAAATAAAAAAAATATGGATATCTTCCAATTTATTTAATCTGTCCTTTTTTAACACTTAGGTTGTCCCTGTTTTCAGCTCTTCCAACTAGTATTTTTGCTATAGAAAATAAGTGTTCTATGCAATTTTTTTTACACATATGTTCTTAGTATTAACTAGAAAAAGCCTGCTGTTGTTTCTCAACAGAAAAATGATGAAATGGATGATGAATGTGGCTACCCAGAGTCCCTATGTCTAAGTTATGCTTTCTCTGCCCATTTGTTTTCCAGCCTATTTCCCAGAATACGTTATAGTCAGAAAAGATAGAAGTTGTCCTAGTTGGAAAAAACTGCAAGTAATTCTCACATTCAGGTTATCATACTAGTGGGCTCTGAAAACCACGATGGTATATACCGTATTTTTCGGACCATAAGACACACTTTTTTTCCCCCAGAAGTGGAGGGAAAAAGTTCCTGCGTCTTATGGTCCAAATATAGCCTACACATATACTTTAAAAAAAAAAGGTTTTTTACTTGCCCGGCTCTGTGTGGTCTCTGTGTGCTTGCCCGGCTCTAAAATGGTTCTAAATGCTGCTGTTTACTTTACAGGGTTGATTACATGTGTTTATGACTGTGATGTTGGGTTTTAATGCACATAAAATATTTTAGGACACTATTTGTTTCAGAATCTTTTTTTCTTCATTTCCCTTCTCTAAAAACTGGTGCGTCTTATGGTCTGGAGCGTTTTATGGTCCGAAAAATACGGTAATTTCAATAACAGGGTAGCTATTATGGGAGGAACAGTTCTGAATCTTGTTTAGAATTTAAGAGACCCAGTATGAAGAGCTTGTCTAAATGCAATCAAATTTTCCACACATTCCACTCTGAGGTACTTAAAAGAGCTTCTTGTCTTTTTTCTTTTTTTGCTTGCAGTGAAGTACATGCGAGAAGCCACACCCTACGTGAAGAAAGGCTCCCCTGTGTCGGAGATTGGGTGGGAAACGCCTCCGCCTGAATCCCCGCGGTTAGGGAGTGGCTCCTCAGACCCTCTGGCATCATCGTCCTCGCAGCCCTTCTCCTTCCACAGAGACCGGAAGAACATCCCCCTCAGGATGTGCTACGTCACTCGGAGTCTGGCCCTGGCCGACCCAGAGAACAGGTAAAGAGGACCAAAGCTCTCTGTATCTCTGCAGCTTTTTGGCTGCTGAGGCTTCATGTGGTCCCTTGCCAGGGTTGTGCTCGTGTTCTGAAAACGCTTCGTGGTTTCCAGAGAACAGCCTGGAAGGGCAGTGCTGAGACAATGTGTGTGTGTGTTCAAGTCGGGCCTGCCTCCCTCTCGTGGTCCACCCTTCCTCCTCCTTTCTTTCATCCTCATGGAGAATCTGCAGCCTGAGTTCTGGTTGTGGAAAGAGATGAAGAATTAGAGGTGTATTCCTAAGTGTTCTTCTCTGGGTCTGCCACAGTCAGCCTATGGGACTTTGGGGAAGTTTCTCAAACCTGTAAACCTCCACTTTGTTATCTATAAAATGGGAATAATTGAGATATGCACCTCACTGGGCTGTGAGGATTGGCGGGGGTGGGGGTGGGGGGTGTATGGGAAGTGCTTAGCACAGGAAAGCCTTTAATGAATATAAGATATAATAGTATTTATTACTAAGGCATGGTAGTAATAAGCAAATCAGCCTCTCTGGGCCTCAGTGCCCTCTGCTGTGTATTTGGAGAGTCACATGGAGAGGATATGTGAAATTATTTTTTACTCTAAACCTTGTTTTGTGCCCAAGAGAGGAAAGAGTGGTTCTGGTCCAAGTGTGGGTGCTTCTTGCAAAGTCTGTGTGTGACTTGTCAGGCCACAAGACAGCCCTGTCACCCAGTCCATGGCAATTGTAAGGCGCCCAGGCTAAAATCAGCAAATACTTGGGAGTCTCTCTCCCCTCAAAAGCCTTTCTTTAACTCATCTGAACAGAAAGCATGGATCTTGGAGGAAAAGAAGAGCTATGCAGAGAAAAGAGAGGATGTGAGCCAGCCAGTGGGGGATCTTGGTGACCTTTGCATCCACACTCAAATGCTAAAAATAGGAACGGCCACTGGCCCTTATTGCTAACATGTGTGGAATAGCTGCAACCCACCCGCGTCGGGAATATTTGGCGAGGTGCTGCAGTTGAAGGGAATGGGGGCGGGGCACATGTTGCCTCCTTGGTTTGCTGCTCAATGTTGTTCTTGTTCTCTTCCTAATAAGCTCTCTCTAAGGAAGCTGCAAGCAAGCCTTTCGGACTCCAGCCAGCTGCAGGGCTGCCTTGCTGCCCCCACCCCTTCAATGCCAGTTACATCTACACAGGGTGGGAGATCAGCAGTTATAGGAGAGAGCGATCAGGTAGCAGCAAAAGATGAGTCAGAGTAAGGAGACAGCATTCTTAGATAAGCCACCTCCATCTGTCCTCTGGTGTGTAACCTCTTTAATTTTTGCCACTTTCCTGGGCCTACAGTTCGTGTCCTGGTTCCTCTGAGTTTCCTCTTCCCTATCAGACATGGCCTTTCTCCTAAGAGCCTGGTGTGTAAGGTTTCAGATCTGATGAATTTATAATTTATTGAGTGCCTGTCTTGTGCTGGGCATTATGCTAATGACTTCAGATCAGAGACTGCAAAGTGGCAGCCCACAGGTGTGCCCAGCCCACAGGTATGTTTTTCAATGGTCTATCTAGTCTTTGAACCCCACTTTTTCCTTTTAACAACCCTCTGAGTTTCTATCCTTGTCCCCACTGTGTAGATTAAAAAACTGAGATTCGATGCTTTTAGAAGTTCCAAATATCATATAGCTAATATTACAGATGGGTTAGCTGGGCTTCACACTCATGTCTTGAGTGGGTGACAGTATCAGTTTACTGTTGCCAGAAAAACGCAGAGGCTAGAAAACTAGTGTGGTATCACGGAAGTGATTAGCGCAGTGGAGAGAGAGATTAAAGAAATGATTCCTCAGGTTCCTTCCACTTGTGGAATTATATCTTATAACATTTTCTTCAAGGCATTTAACTATATTTTAAAGAATATTTTTGGAGCCATCATTTCTTAGTTCAAATACTGGAAACTTTACTCTGTCAAGCCAGTCGAGGGAATGCATTTTTAAACTTTTCTCTCACTCTTCCTTAAGGCCCCTAGTAATGAGTGTATGTGGGGCCTCCCAGGTGGCAAGGCAGAGCCAGGCAGGACTGAAATGGCAACCCTGCTAAGTCAGACTGTCCAGGAGGGGACTTTATACCAGACAGTTCCAAAACTTCTGATAATAAAATTAACCTTTTCCAATGTATATGTATATCAAACCACCATGGTGTATACTTTAAATATAATTTTGTCTATTATTCCTAATGAAACTGGAAAAATACACATATCAGGGACCTAGGTGAGTCTTCACCTCATTGAGGAAGAGAAGGAAAAAAAAAAAGAGAGAAAGAGAGAACAAAAATTTTACGGGACTCCATTTGCGCACTGGGCAGAGGATAATGTACTAGTCAGAAGTGCGGATTCTGTTGAATGCAAGACACACCTAACCCAAGGTGATTTTAAAAGGCAAACATATAGGGATGGACAAAGCATCCAAAGCAAATGCAAACTGACAGCAACAGACAGCATCAGTTTTGATCTTGGTATATGACAGATCAAATGCAGATTGAAAAGGACAAAACAAGACAGAAAAGGACCAATCTATGCTAAAGGCCAGAGTTCACAAGGGGTATTCAACAGTATGAATATATATCAAATGACTCAGCAGTGACCTTTAGGGCAGGACCTGCAGGTGATTCGAGGAGAAATAGAAACTACTAACATGAAGTCATTTCACACACCACTCTCAGGCCAAGGACAGGGCAAGTGGACAAAAGGTAAATAAAGAGAGAAGACCCGCTCTGGCTGGGTGGCTTGATTGGTTGGGGCATTGTCCTGTACACCAGGGGGTTGTGGGGTCACTTCCTGGTCAGGGCATGTATCCAGGCACAAATGAGAGGAAGCTTATGGGTGTTCCTCTCTCATATTAGTCTCTCTCTCTCTCCATTTCTCTCTATTTCTCTCTCTCTCTCTCTCTCTCTCTCTCTCTCTCTCTCTCTCTCTCTCTCATTCCTTGGTCCCCTTTCTTTCTCTCTACGATTATATAGGGTATATCCTCAAGTGAGTATTCAAAGAAATATATATATTTCTAATATAATAACATACTTAATACTGGAGATCTTAGTATATCACAAACTTTGTATCCTGATAATGAAGAATACACTTGCTTTTCAGATTCACATGGAACGTTCACAAAACTAACCATAGATTAGGCCACAAAGCATGCAGTAAATTTCATAAAGTAGAAATAACATGAACAATGTCCTTTGACGATAGTGGAATAAAACTAGAAAGCACGTAACCAAACAAAAGCACAGAAGGCTTTTCTTCATGGTTTCATGAAAGCTCTCCATGTCACAACTCTCATGTCAAAGGGAAAATAGCAACTTCCAGTAATAAAATGAACCTTAGAAATTGTGGCATTTGCCGAAACCAGTTTGGCTCAGTGGATAGAGTGTCAGCCTGCGGACTGAAGGGTCCCAGGTTCGATTCTGGTCAAGGGTGTGTACCTTGGTTGTGGGCACATCCCGAGTAGGGGGTGTGCAGGAGGCAGCTGATTGATGATTCTCTCTCATCAATGTTTCTGACTTTCTATCCCTTTCTCTTCCTCTCTGTGAAAAAATCAATAAAATATATTAAAACAAAACAAAAAAAAGAAATTGTGGCATTTCTAAAAACAGTAATAATCATGAAAATAATGCACCTATTAAATATAAAGAGAAAGAAGGGAAAAGAGAGAGTGTGGACTCTGGAGTCTGCTCTCTCCACGATGGAATCTTAGTTCTACCACTTATGCATGAATTTAAGCAAGTGTCTTGTTTATCAAAATAACCACTAAGGGGATCAGTACTCTACTCTCTTTTTCATAGGCAAAGAAACAGTTCAGAAATGAGAGATGAAGCAAATCGTAGGCCTGGGATTCAAACCCATTTCCACGTGACAGCAAGTCCAGTTTCCTAGCCCCCCCATTACCTCCAACTTGAGCACCTGCTCACCTGAACTATAAGCATCGTGGCCAGGACTAAATGGTCTCCTGTATGCTAAAACCATGACAAATGCCACACCATGTAGGACTAATGCCCTTAGTTGGTGACACACAGCTGCTTGTAGTTAGTATTAAAATCTCTCCTGTTCAATCTCTCAAATATAATAGAAACAGCCATAGAACAGCAGGCAGGATTGCTGCTCTTTCCATAAAAAAAGGTCACCCAGCAGGCACTGAATCCACAAGAATATGTCATTGCCAGTGGCTGTCAATGATTACAAGATTTATTTTTTAATTCTACCTCTTAAATATCTAGTGTTTCATATTCAGCTCCTCTTTCTAGCCACTGCCCTAATGCCAGCCACATCCTTCGTCCTCCAAGCCATTTGGACATATGTCCTATAGGGTGCTTTGTTTTTAGTTTGCTCCTTCCCCTCCCACTACCAGCTACCCTAAGCCCAGCTGGCCAAAGGAATGTGAAACCATCCAAACTCATCCATTTGGTCAAAATGATGCCTAATCACTTTCAGTAATGTAGAAACTCCCCAGCATTGCATACAAACCCCTGAGGTGGTTTTGGATCTTCCCTAAGTCTCCAGCTCCTCCCCATCTTATCCTTTGTGCTGTAGCAACCCTTAAACAATTTGTACATGTCCTTCACTTGCCTCCGGGACTGCCTAGTCATCACCTGTGAAGCACAGGTGGAGCACAGGTCCCACCCTACTATCTGTCCATGATGACACCCCATGTGACAGGCGATGTTTTATCTTCCACTGACTGCCCAGTTTTTTGTTGTTTTTTTTTGTTTGTTTGTTTGTTTTTAATATATTTGATTTTTTTTTTTTTTTTTTTTTTTTTTTTTTTTTTACAGAGAGGAAGGGAGAAGGATTAGAGAGTTAGAAACATCGATCAGTCGCCTCCTGCACACCGCTTTCTGGGGATGTGCTGGCAACCAAGGTACATGCCCTTGACCAGAATTAAACCTTGGACCTTTCAGTCTACAGGCCTATGCTCTATCCACTGAGTCAAACCAGTTAGGGATGACTTCCCAGTTCTTAAAGCCAGAAGACCCATGAGTT